AAAAAAAAAAAGAAAGCCAAATGAAGCTGCATGATTCTAATGAAATTAACTGGATGGAACATTTTCAGGTTCACAGGGTTTAATAGGATTCGCAAGTCATCTGGTTCAGCTCCCAACCTTTCTCCCTGAATTCATTAGATTTCTGCTTGCAACCTTCCAATAAAACATGCACCTCTCAATTCTTATTGTTAATGCCTTCTGTACTAATTATCTATATACATATAATGTTCATACATATACAAATATGTTTAGTCTTAGTTTTTAAGGATGTCTTTTATACTTCTACCTATCTTTATCTCATTGAAATTTGAAACATATTGTTATGGTTTATATGGATGTCCCGGAGGAGCTTCATGCACTCAGAGGCAGGCTTTGGGAAGACCACTGTATCACAGCATGTGCAGCTGTCTTGCCTGGAAGTGGGGCCTGGGTGGATGAACCAGGTCTCTAAGCGGATGACCCAGCCAGGTGTTGCCTTTCTCAGCTCCTCCCTTCACTCCTTGCTTCCTGTCCACCATCTACTTGCCTCTAGAACTAAATAAAAATTATTTCCTCCTTCAACATAAATATTATTTTTCAGAAGGCATCACCAATTTAAAATTTGCTGTTAATAGTGTTTGGACAGGATATCATGTCTGCATCTTGTACTATGAATAACTACTACGAAGACAACAATATGCAATGTATTAATCATTCTAACAGTCCTACTAACCTGTTTTGAAACTGTCCCATTGCTATTTGTTTCTGAATAAAATTAATTTAAAAAATAAATAAAATTTGCTGTTAATTTCATCAGTGCTTAGTTTTAAAAGTTACATGCTTCTCGAAGCTACTAAGGAATGAATAAGCATGAATGTACTCTGCTTCCACATCTAGTCCTAAGAGATATCTCTCTGAAGGCAAAGCGTGTACTGCTCTGCCCTACTTTCCCATCTACAAAGTAATATATGAATGATTACTAAGGTTCCACAATATAATACAGTTTTGTGACTTCTGAGACTTATCTTTAGAAATTAAATTAAATATGATTTGGTATTACAAATGCTCTTCATGTTCATTTTATGAATATGAAGAAATCAAATGAAGAAAGCAAACCGTTATACACAATCTCATCACTCAATTAAGAACCACTGAAAACTGCTTGGTATGTATTTTTTCCTTCTTTTCTATCTATATGATAATTTCTAAAATTGAGTCACACTGTTTATTCCCTTTTACAAATTGCCAATTTTTACTTACTAAAATAATGTGAGAATTATTCTATCTCAATAACGTTTCCCTACCACATTTATTTTAATGATGTTTTATGGTTGTAATAATACTGGATATCTTCGCAGTTCAACCATTGCCAACATCATTAATTATTTATTAATGACTTTGAGTGCAATAAAAATACTCTATACTCTGCAAAAAAAATGGTGATGGCATGTTTTATGTCCCTATTCAGCACTATCCAATTTTTTGAAAGTATTTAATCTGATGAGATTAAGAGAATCATAGCTCCTTGTTTTATGTCCAGAGGTCACATCCTCAGGAACAACAAAAGCCACCCAATATTGTGAATGGGCAGAGCTAAGATAATAAAGGGGATCATTCAAACTCTATTGCCCATATGTAGAGCACAAAATATATTTTACATCCCAACCAAATACACCTGTCTATACACACACG